TTTATTAAACGTTGAGAAGTTGTAACAAGTAGGTATGAATTCATTTATTCAGACACTCGCAACATTTTTTAAGCAAAATTGTCTGTGTGAACAATTTCACTTGAAGGCCACCACTTCGTCTGTGTATCTTCAAAAAGAATAATTAATGTTACTCTCATGCTGAAGCTCCATAAGTCAAAAGGATAGCTGAGCAATAATTATTCTTATGCCATTCTATTCAATAGAACTTTTAAATCCTCTGTACTTTCATAATTTCTAAATTTCTTGTTTTTTAACCTCAGAACATAATTGCTTTTCAGTTTTAATTGTCAGTGTGTTTTACTTTATTAAATCCTAAAATATAATTTAACTAATATGTACTTTTTGTTGAATTAGACTTGTTGAAATTCAGTGTATTAGAAGATTACTGGTAGCAGATGTACTTTTAAAGAAAGTAGATGATAGGTTGATATTTCATTGGGTTTCCAATGTTATTTTTACTGCCAAATATTTTGGGCTCGATTTTCAGAGCACATTTTAAAAGACTTATATAAATGTGTTGGCATGTAAAGTGGCACAGAGAAATACACATACTTAAGAAAATTACGTTATAGGCTCTGCTCAGTCTTAAAACTGGGCATATTTACTTTTTGGCAGCATTTAAGTAATGAAGTATTTTTAGAAGGCATTGACAATACGTACAAAGTAGTCAACTTCTAGATATGTAAGTGTCCCTCTCCGTAATTAAGAAACTCCTTTAAAATAATTAGTCTTGACTGACAAGTAGTTTAAATGCTTTTTTTCTCATGGGGAACCAGATCAGTTTCCTTTTCATTCTAAAGTTTTCAAAAGTACCTTTGTTTTCTTCTTATGGTCACGGTAGGAAAATGTTTTTAACACCTATTAGTAGTCAGTGAGCGAGAACAGGGAGCTGTTTCTCTTGTTTCATCCATGCTAAGAACCACCTTGTTTAGGCATGTGTTTGACATGGAACTTGGGTACTAGCTGAGGTCTGGTCAACTTTAGCAGAGCAGCTCCATTGTCTTCATGATCCTTTTGGCCATGGCCATAGGTAGTAAGTGCAGCATTCTACCAGAAGGTTAGCACATTTCACATCCAAACCTTCTTCAATTAATTCAGCTAATATTTATTACACACTTAGTAGGTGACACTCTGTGCATTGTTATACCAGATTAACTCATGGGATGAAAATGGGAAGAAACTCAAGAATATGTCTTCTTCACCCCAAATTACTTGTTTATTGCCATTTCTGAATGCCCAATGCAGTATTACCCCACTACAACATACAGTGGACTATTTCATTGACTATCCTGCATTTGAATAGTTGACATTTTCCATATTAGTCTTTTTGTTTAGAAACAAGTTTCCCCACTGTTAGCAATGATAACTGAATGGTAAAACAAAACAAAACAAAACTTAAGCATAATGTTTTCATTGAAATTTGCTTGCTGAATAAAGCATTTAGTAATATAATTTAAATAACGAGATAATTTTATAGTTTTCAGTAATACATTCCTTTAAACAAAGCATCCATCATATAGCAGTGCAATTTATCACTGGGTTACTGATACAAATACAATTATATGTTAAAGGGTAGAAAGCATGGAAAAATCAACTCCAGCTCTTTGTAAAAGTTTGCCATATCCATAACTTTCGAACACTTCTTCTAGGGCCAAAGTAAATATATGGAAAATTTGGGTTTCAACAGTCTAGTTGACTTTGTAGCTGTCTAGTGTCTAATTCTAAATTGTACTTTTGTTAGTTGAGACCCAAATTAAATCTATGTTTATGTATACATGTTTTGAAAAAAATTGACAAGGTTTAACCTACCAAATTGCCCACTTATAGCCAAATAAATGCTTTGACTATATGATTTGCTTGGTAGCATTGTTAAATTATTGTAACTTGATAGTTTCAGCAAACAAAATATAGCCAGGTCAGTTCAATGCTTGGAAGCAGTTTCAATATGATTTTAAAAATGTTTTATATCGAGTTAAGAAGAAAATTGTCTTTTAGCAAATACTCAAATATATACTGTAAACATTCTAGAAAATTTGATTTCAAATACTTTTTATACAAAACAAACAAATCTCTGATTCTATTTAAACTGACCAAAATAATGAAACTGGATTCTCAAATTGGAACATTGTTATTATTCAATGATTCCATTAGTTAAAATACTAAAGACATTAATGAAAATGTTTTTATTCTTGAAAATAGACGCTTAATATTTAAAAGAATTGTATGGTTAAACAATCATCTAATTTCTGATTGATAGGCAAACAAACCAAGGATATTTTATTTCATTTAGGAAATTCAGTGTTTCTTTATTGTGAGAATACCCTGTCAAAGTGTTGACTCTAAATCAGTTTAAAAATAATAGCACAGCCACTTCTAATTGTGTTGACTCTCTTTCATCAATGGTATGAATATGCTACATGAGAGACCCAGAAAAAGGAGCAAGAGGTGAATGGCAACCTGAATGGAAGTGACTGCAGTACAGTTTAAGAACTTTAAGTGACCTGCTCACAAGTTATACTTAGGGTCTATGGTGCAGTTATAGTTTTTACAAAATGTTATAGAAATACAGTAAAAAATTATGTAATTCTCAATTTTGAAATAATAGATATGGTTTTCCAAACCAAATCACTAGATTCTGAGTTTCAAGTGAAAATATTTATTGTAATAAAATTTCTCTTGCCCTGCCCCAGCTCTTTTTTACTACCTTGTTTCACTTCTCCCTTCTTTTCCTTTCACATTTCATGCTGAATAAATAAAGGAACAAAAAGAATTGCATGTATTTACTTAAATACATATTTTAATGTTTGTATACATTAGTGAGTTAAACTATCAATGTAGATTTATAGCTATCACATAAGTATCTCAAAAAATAATTCTCTTATGTGGAAATCAACTCATTAGATGATTGGTGAACAACTTAGAACTTGACTTACATGCATTTTAAAAGACTTGTTACATTTTTACAATTACACATGTCACTTTCTTCCAGTAATGTACTGATTATGTTTACAGTCTTTGAGTACAAAACTGTAAAACTTGACATGAAAAGATAGTTGGCTGTATAAAAATGAAATATACATATTCCGCAAACATCTAAATTCAAACATGAAACTAAAAAATATATTTGCCACAGATATGAAGAACAGATTTTTTCAATTTTTTAGCTATACAAAAAACTTTTACAATGCTAACTATGGATGAATGTAAATAGGAAATTCAGAAATAAAATAAATATGAAGGGTCAATAAACATGTGAAAATATATTTTACAAATAAAATAATGAAAATAAAAATATGGATATTGTATCATTCTTCATCTATGACAGTGGCAACATTTAAAGAAATTGGCACTATGTAGTTTCAAAGAGAATAGTACTGCCATTGGAAGTATGCATTTTTATTAAATATTTTGGACATCTAGTTGTTGATATTTTCTAACCTTGAAATATATTTTCCATTTGATCCAGCAATTGTATTTGTAGAAAGATATTATTAAATATGTTTGGATAATTATATTTTTTCAAAAATATTATAGCCGTGGTACACAATATATTACTTTGCACCTTTATGATACAAAAACTGGGATATTCCTATATGTCCATCAACATAAGATAATGAAATAATGTTTTATATTTATATATAATGCAGCCATTAAACAGGAGGAATGCAATATAGACATAAAAACATTTCCATCATATATTGTTAAATAATAGTATGAAATGATATGTGTAGTGTGATACAATCATAGTAAAATTTCCTTGAGTAAAATAAAAAGAGGTATGGAAGGAAACATCTAATGTCTATTTGTTTTTCTGTGGGACAGAATAACAGGAAATTTACCACATTGTTAACTGGTTGCCTTTTGACATTTGGGAAAAGGTGTGGGGAGGGAGCTAAAGAAATTTTTAACTTTTTATATACATCTCATTTTCTTAAATAAAAAGTATTCACTATTTCTATAACATACAAAGTATACAGATTATGTTATTACTTAAAACTATATAATTGTTTTGAAATTGAAACACTACTTTTAATATATATACATATATGTGTATATATACATATGTATATATGTGTGTGTGTGTGTGTATATATATATATACACACACACACACTCAAGAACAGTACACATTTTTGGTAATGGTTTTTATAAAAGATCAAAATGCGCACACAATACCCCTGAGGTTTATCTGAGTTTCTTACTCAGCAAATTGAATATGTCTTTTTATTTTTAAATATATTTTTATTGATTTCAGAGAGGAAGGGAGAGGGAGAGAGAGAGAGAGAAACATCTATAATAAAAAGGGTAACATGCTAATTAGACTGAGAGACCTTCCGTTTGTCCTTCTGGACAAGGCCATGGTGGTGGGGCCAAGGCAGAGGTGATTAGGGGAGATCAGGCCAGGAAGGGAGGGCAGTTGGGGGTGATCAGGCTAGCAGAGGGGGCAGTTGGGGGG